TTACGCGTGAGTTTAGGACCCCATTCACACACTTGGGATTAAAATGTATACATATATATTATCAGGGGACCGGATGACGTAGCGTCTGTTCGAACGTAATTTCAACGAAGAAATAAATTGAATAACATATGTATTTCTCCTTTTCTCCTCAGTAATTTTATAATTTTAAACTTAATAGTGATTAAATTTGGATTTTAAAATTGGCAGTTTTTAATTTTAATATCAAACTTTATCATATAGTTTAATAATTATTGGTTAGAATAAATTCTTTTTGAACATTACCCGTATCTGAATAGCTATTATAATATGACTTCGTTGTGAAGCTTTTTGAATTTTCCTATACTAGCTTTTGTAATAACGTTTTCCCATTGCGAAGGATCGTTAATTTGAAACTTTTAAAACCATTTGTTTTGCGTTCAACATCATCCCTTGATAAGACACCGAGGGTGTTGAAACAAAATGACTATTTTTGTAGTGATTTTATAACATGTTTATGTTATAAATTTAAAAAAAATAAATAATTATATATATATATATATATATATATATATATATATACATTTGTGTGTGTGTGTCTGTACTGATTATATGTTATTAATTTAGTGTTAATTGTTGCGGTCGCAGTATTTAAAAAACATTTTGATGGAACCTGCCTAAGACACCAGGCGCAAATGAATGTGATCACCATCGGACAATCAGTCTAATGAGCCTTACGATAAAACTTGTCATCCGGATTCTGATGCGTACAGCAGAATCAGACCGGAGATAGGACAAGAAAAGTACGGGTTCGTCAAAGACACTCGAAGAAGGAAAGCGATATTATTGCAGAATATTATCAGAAATAGCAATTCAAATGCACAAAGACGTGTACCTGTGTTTTATAGATTACACAAAGACGTTCGATAAAGAACAACATAATTATGTATAAGATACTGGCAGCATACCGCCTGCATAAAGATAAAAAATGAGTTTAGCAGGTATGCAAATATAGACAGTTGTGTAAGACAAGGATGTGTCTTCGAGTAAGACTTATTCAATCCATACAGCGGGGTAATTCTGTGAGAATTAGAAGTCCTAGCAGGATTCATTACTGGTAACCACAATCTTAGGAACATAAGATATGCAGATGACACAGTATTGATAGCAGATATGGATGGTAGTGAAGGAAAGCAAGAAGAAAGGACTAAATATAAACTACAAGAAGACAGAATGCAGGAAATGGTGAGCCCAAAATGCAAATTATGAATCAGGGATACTAAAATCAAACAAGCACAAAAATTTAAATATTTGTTGAGAAGTGATCTAACAGAGGGCAGAAAGTGCGATACTGAGATCCAAAGACGTTTTGGAATGGCCAAAGATGCCTTCCAAATGCTAAGAAAAGTATTAAGAGATATAAAACGTTGTTAGAAACAAAATAAGTGTACTGAACTGTTACGTGATATCTGTCCTCCTGTATGGCAGTGAATGCTGGGCAATCTCCTCAAAGATAAAGAAGAGACTTGAAGTAACAGAAAGGTGATTCGATATAAAATATGCTGAAGATATATTGGGCTGAATATGAGAGCAACGACGAGGTTTTTGGTGAGATGGAAAACAAAAGGAAACTTATACTTAACATCAGGAAGAGGCAGTGGAAATATCTGGGGCGCACAATGAGAAAGGAGGGTTTGAAGAACATGATACTCATAGGACAGATTGAGAGAAAGAGGGACAGACGAAAAGAGCGCGTAACATACATGACAGGCTTGAGTAAACAGATGGCAGAAGATGGTTTCGGAGAAATAACAAAACAACAAAATATATTAAGGGCTACAAGGGATAGGAAGATGTGGAGTTCCATGATCGCCTACATCCTGACCTGACACGGCAAATGAAGTAGAAGAAGACTTTTTATAAAGAGAAGTCTAAAAATTATTGATGTTAAAGTGAATGTGTAGAAAAGGAATTTTTTTTTTATTGATGTTTAGTTACTAAGCGAACTTTCAAATGCAATTTTATCCAATTTTTAAAAGTTTTATAATGTCATTAACGGATTTGGTTTGGATGAAGATGTCATCAATGTATCTGACATAAATGGTGGGTTTATTGATTTTATTAAATATTTTGTATTCTAACTTCCGACAATTTCTAAAAGAATTTCCTTCTTGTCTAAGAAGGATTATTCGCAATTTAGAGAAATTAAATTAAAATCGACTCAAAATATCTGTTGTCTTTAATAATAATAATAATAATATATATACATATATATATATTTATATATATATGTGAAAAGTGTGTGTATATAAATATAAATCAATTTTTATATATATATATATATATTTATATATATTTATATATATATATATTTATATATATATTTATATCCAAGTATATAATTGATATATACGGAATGAATTCCAATAACCAACAATTACTATTCTTAAAAGAGTGCTCAATACAAAGTAGAGCAGATATAATTATTTTTATAAAAAATTATAACATAAGTATGTTATAAAATCACTACAAAAATAGCCATTTTGTTTCAACACAATCTGTGTCTTATCAAGTGATGATGTTGAAAATAAAATCTATTTTATTTTCAACATCATCACTTGATAAGACACAGAGTGTGTTGAAACAAAATGGCTATTTTTGTAGTGATTTTATAACATACTTATGTTATAATTTTTTTATAAAAAAAATATATATATTTATATATATATATATAAATATATATATATATATATATATATATATAAATATATATATATATATATATATATATATATATATATATATATATATATATATATATATATATATATATATATAAATATTTATTTATATATATATATATATTTGTTTATACGTTATTTTTATAGATAGAAGATAATAAACAGTATGAAACAACATTTACCGGCCTGAATGTACGAGAAATCCCAAAGAAAATATCTGTCCTCCGACAGGATGGACACATATTTTCATAAATACTGTTTATTATAAACAGAGCATTTACTTGCATATTTGTATCTATAAAAATAACGTATAAGCAAAAATTATATTAAAATAATTGTCGGACTTAGTCCATTTCATAATATATATATATATATATATATATATATATATATATATATATATATATATATATATATATATACCGTATTCTTGTTCACGAATTTACAGTTGTGTATCCAGAAATTCTATAGAAAATGTGTCAATGGTATATGTAGCTCTATTCATATACACAGTTGATTTCCAACCAGAGGATGGAGAATAAGTGATAAGAAAGTTGAACACTCAAAGGCCATGCTGAAGGCAAGACTAACTGAGGAAAATAGCGAGCAACCTGTGTAAGGGGCTTGTATAAATGGATGCCAGGGGTAGGGTAGTATGAGACGAAGCTTGCTTAATGCTACAAAAGAAAGGAAACCCATGATCGTTAACATCATGAATTTTCAAAGAAGACATGTGCCATGGGTACATAACGATATGCGGGTGGCGTAAGGCCTGCCAATGAAAAAAAGTCGAATGAGCGTGCTGAGTTCAAATGCAGTTGCATTCACCTTTGTATAAATGTCCTTAGGAAGAGCGTGAATCTATTTATTTCTCTTCAGAATAATATGTGCGAAATAGTAGGGTAGATTGATCTCTCTAGCATTATGAGGCAGTCTAAGGGAGGGTCTATTTTTTTTAATGCAAAACCGTTGAGATGAGAACTGTTAATTGTATACTATTAGTCCTAATAAGTCAGGACGCTTTATAGATAACCATAAGACCAGAATTTGAAAGGTTGGTTGGAATAAAAGGCTAGGTTGGAATAAAAGGCTAGGTTGGAATAATTGAAAATCAGATAAACGAGGGTAACGGAATAAGAGGATGGTAGGTTAGAAAACTCTATTTTGGGTGCGAGAGTAACAAAGGAAACGCAATGTATGGCGAATTATGATCGCCTACTTCCTGAATGGATTTTATCATTTAAATGCAAAAAAAAAAAAAAAAATAAATAAATCAATAAAATAAAACTACATACAAGAATGCTGTAAAATGTAATTATAAAGAATTATAAATGCCGACGAAACCATTCGAAATATAATTCCTAGTTCTATTTATTTCCCGCGTTATTGTGCATTTATCAGAAATCAAGAGCAACAGAAGACACATAGAGAGTGCATCTGCACCTACGTGAAGAAAGAAAAATGGACGAATTTGTTTAGCTTGTAACAAAACTTGCTTCAATTTTCGATCGCTGAAAAGGACGATCTTAGCAAATCTTTTCTTTTCAGTGCAATTAGTGGTATTAAAGAGAGGGGGAGGATTCAGAGTTATTGTCAAAAAGAGGAATAAGATGGAACGAAAACTAGAAAAAGGAAACTAAAGAAATGGGAATAACAAAGGCAAAAAAGATGTGAATATTTGAAAATGACGACAAAGGAAAAGGAAAAGGAAAAAAAAAAAGAAAGAAAAGGTAAACCGGGCAAAACGACGAGAAAAAAAATTTGAAAGAAATAATTAAGCAGAAAAGAGAATTAATTTGGAAGAGAAAGAAAGTGTAATGGACGTAAAGAAAAAATCAAAACTAAACCAACAAACAAAAAATAATGGAAAAATGAGAAGAAAAAAAAAGAGAAGAAAAATGGAAAAAAATTAAAAAAGGAAACGAAAAACTGAAAAAGAGATAAAGATTCAAGGTTGATAAAAAGAAAAAGCCCAAAATTAAAGAATTTGAATCCTTAATTGGTGGTAGCAATAATTACATATTCCTCAGCATTATTATTAATAGTGAGTATTCAAGATCAGGTAAAAGTCAAAACGCAAAAGGTAGTTTTCGGAGAAAAATATTTGCACATAACGATTTTTGTACCGGAATTTCAGATGTCATAATAAAAAAAAATAAATATGAAAAAGAATGCATTATAATAATGAAAGTAATTGGAAAAACGAATCTGGAAAAGAAGAGAAAAGGAACGGTAAGACAATTGAAAAATAGAATTGAATGAAAAGGAGAAAAAAATATAAATTTAAAAAAAAAAACTGAAGAGAAGGAAAGAAAAAGAAGAAAAAAGAATTTGAAATAAGAAAGAGAATTTAATGAAATTTGAAAAGAAGAAAAGGAGGAAAAGAAACAAAAACGAAAAAGACGTAAAGGATGAAAAGAAAAAAATTGAAGAGAATGAGAAGGGAAAAGAGAAATTTAATGAGCAAGAAAGAAAGACTGAAAAAAGGGAAATAAAAATAGAAAGAATTTAAATAAATAAAGAAATAAAATTGTAAAAAACAAAAAAATGGAAAAAAAAAAAGAAAGATGGAAAATATCTCTAAAAAGAACGAAAAATAAGTAAAGGATAATTAGAATGAAACAAGAAATGAGAAAGAAATGATTTGAAAGAAATGATTTGAGTTAAATAATGGAAAAATAAATAAAAATAAACGACATCATCGTATATTCATGAAAAAAAGAAGAATAAAAGGAAGAATCTGTAAATAAAGAAATGAAAGAAATGTAAAAGAAGTTTCAAATTGAAATTGAAAGAAATACGATAAGGTGAGCAATGTTGATTTTTTTCCTAATTGACAATTGTTGCTTAGCAACAATAACTCCGCTGATTGAACTGAAACTTGGCAAACACATCATCCAGTATGTTAGCCATTTGTTGAATGTACTTTGAAATGAATTTTCATAATATAACTTTACGACAGAATATCAAATACATCAACCTGCTCCACCCGTGGAGCATGTTGATGCAGGACTAAACAAGCAAATGACAAGAATTAACAACGCAAAATGTTGACTTAAATGCTATTTTTAACGCAACCAAGAGAATATCTGAATCAAGAGAAGTAAAAAAAAAGTAAACCTAGGAACGTTGAATATTGAATAAATATATATCTCCTAAACAGAATCTACTCAGTCTCACCTTTTACAAATGAAAACAACATTTTTTTCACCAAAGTCAGTGCTTTCCTCATTAGCCCAACTCTCCAAAACGCGAATATTGGATCCAATAAATCGAGAGTTTCCATACGCACCACAACAATAACTGCAGTCCCACTTATCTGCGTCAGATTCAAAGTCTTTGATCCTTTTCTTCATTTGCTGACAGGTGTTTTCTTCTTCCCTAACCCTCCCCACTACGCTTTGCCCTTTCCTTTCTTTTGCCCTCACTCCGCCTGAGATTTTCTTGTCAATGCTTCTTGTTCCACCATTTTGTTCAGCATAGCAAACATCAAGGGTAGCACGTAAACAGGAGCTTTTCGCGCTTGAAAATACATGGATTCTGCTTTCTTTAAGCCGAATACTCCGCCCGTATCCCCTTAATAATCAAATTCCCAGTTCTACAGACTTCATGGAATTTACTAGCATCGATCTATCCATTCTTAACACGTCAATTCCTAAAAGACCGTGGCTTTTATTGTTTTCCACCATTATGATGGGTATTATTTAAAATGTATTTTTTTGTCTCAAAAGTGCCTTCAAAGCATTCTAAAATTTTGATGTTTGACCCGCTGAACTGTTTCAACTGGAGAATACCTTTGGTCTACCAATCCTTTCCCCCAAATTCTTCAGTAGCAATGTAACATCGCTTCCAGTATCCACTTGTATGAGGAAAGTTACTCCGTTCAACTTCATCTTTTCCTTACTTTTATCTTATGCTTTTATCTCAAATACTTTGTACAGTTAATCAGAAGATCTATATTTTCCACTTTTTCAACTCGCTTTTCATATGTCCATTCTGCCTAGAAATGATTCCTCTTTGCACTTAAAACACCATTTCCCAAAGTTTGGATACTTATTTTGGCGCTTTTCAAAGTTTTTCTCGCCTGAGTCCATCCTTCAAATCTATAAATCAACCATTCGACTTTGCATGGAATACAGCTGCCATATATGGTCTGGTGCCCCCGCTGAACGTCTTGACGTCCTCGACAGAATCCAGAGACGGATATGCAATGCGACAAGTCCTGATCTGGCATCTAGTCTACAGTCGCTTTCTCACAGACGTACCGTGGCTTCCCGCTATTTCTTCTACAGGCATTTTCATGGCAACTGTTTTGAAGAGCTACTTTCGCTGAATTTAAGCGTGCTACTAGGTTGGCATCTCGGTCCCACCCTTTCACTGTCGAAACAGTTAAATATAACCGCCTCTTCTACTCCAACAGCTTCTTCTCTCACACTTCTCGTCTGTAGAACTCCCTTTCTATTACTTGCTTCTCTGATAGCTATAATCTTCAAATATTCAAATGTAATGCCAATCGATATCTTCTGATACCTTGATCCTGATCCCCGTCCTTCTCTATATCCTCTCTCCCAAACAACCCTGTTTACTCTTGCTCTCACTCTCTGTAACCTCTTGCGTGCTAGTGGCACTGTCACCTTGCTTGGGGTGAAAAAATATAAAAATATAGTGATGATGAGGGAGAAGGGATAAACCCTAAAAACAAACTAAAATATAACAAAACACACAAACTAAGAATGATTTATATCACTATGATCTGTCCACCCTTCAAAAATAAGGGTGGCCGCTGTAATTAAGAAGCTCACTCACTAACGGAGAGGGAAGGCTCAAATAAATACCGGCATGGGAAAAATGAAAGACTGACTCTGTTGAGATGAAAAAGGAGGCCAAAAACAAACTGGGGAGGCTGGGAATCTCGATTTGGATCATAAAAAAAATCATTACTTACATTAACTAGGTACACAAAGAGACTCTATCTTATCCAGAGTAGAGTTTCTCCGGAAACCGCCTCGTTGTGTCTAAGGGGACTTAAAAAAGAACATCAAGGTTAGACCCGTTCACACGGTCAAGGTCGCTACTTTCACCCACTTTTCACTGAAATCTTTCGACAAAAAACACTTTCTATCTGTTCCGATCTTTATTTTGAACTGATGCTCAAAGAAACTGATTAGATCCTGATGGGAATAGCATTCGTATCGCAAGATCCACCTCATCCCGTCGTCTAAATAACCACTCTTGCCACAGCTAGCAGCGTTTATTACACCGTCCGTTTCGCTCCAGAATACCGGGCCGACACATTATTGCACACATGTGCAAGATCAATGAGCACGAGATTTTCAGGAGCGATACGAACCGTCAAGTTGCAGACATAGTTCCAGAAAGGGCATACCTACCGACAATGGTAGAAGGTATGTGGAACTGTTTCCTCTAAGCTAAAGTAATACCAATGACAGGCAAATCCTCCAAGCCGCATCTGAAGGCCAGATATACGAACACTCAGGATTGCTAAGGTAATCCACCGATGGTACCCAAGACTAAAATGAGGCAACTCGGCAGCCGACAAGCTGAGCTGCTCACAGAGAGAATCCTTCACGCCTCTCCACTAATTCCCGATACAAGACTCTCCTAGACGTTGAAAGATCACTGAACCTAGGAATGGATTTCAAGCCCACTCGACACTCCCTGAGGAAACTCGACCGATTCCGGGGCGTGCGACGGTTATCCGCCCAAGAAATCGGAGGGTGATGGCATTTCCAGCTGCCATCCCACGCACCTCGGGCACAGATATCTCTGCTGAGACAATGTTTGCAACCACCCGACAAGAAGGAGGAGGACTGGGGCTCGATAAGCATCTTATGCTTCTTTCAGAGAGGAAGTACAGACAATCGGTTTAGAGTAAGAGGAAAGACGTAAGTTGCACACGCCTTAGCCCTACCCTTCAGGAATAACCGTTTTCGGAACCAAGTCTGGATCGACGCTCCGAAATTTGTTTGTACTTCTGACAAATTTCAAGAATGCGGACGGGCACCAAACCACAAGTCTTGCTGCGGTTAATCTTGGCCCTCGAGACCTTTTTTGTACCATTCAAGCACCTTCTGTACCACCTCAATGTCATTGCGTCACGACACGAAAATGGATACGTCATCGATGTACGCGGAAACCCTGGTTCGAGTCACACGAGGGAGAGCGATTTCACGTAGGGCCGTACTGCTTGCCCCATCTCTCAGCCCGCGAAGGAGAGGCTCCAACGCCTAAGCGTAAAGTAGGGGCCACAGTGGGCAACCCTGATGAACCGACCAAGACAGTGCAATAGCCCGTGTCCACTTTCCGGTCACCTGTATTAAAGCACTGAGGGAGCGATAGAGGAGACTAATCCACCTGCAGAAGTCGGGTTTGAATCCGGAAGCCTGCAAGACAGCAGCCAGGTAACGATGGTTGATCCTATCAAATGCGTTGGACTGATCTAGATTGATAAGCGCGGCTTGCTCGTCGTCTTTTACACCCTCATGCGGATCAAATGCAGGTTGCTCTGAATTCTTCAGCTCATCACAGCACAAGTCTGCTCGCAAACCAAGAGAACTGCAAACGCACCGCCAAAATATATAACCCTGTGTTAAGCAGAATTATGGGTCTGTAATCATCTAATTCTCTTAACCTTTTTGAACAGTGTGATCACACCCTGCAGATCCAGTCGGGGATGGATCCCTGCCGGAACCAGTTGTTGCCAACATGGGAACAAAGATGTGCATCAGCCTCAAGTACAATTCATAGGACAGACCATCAAGTCCCAGAGACTTGCCACTGCCAACAATGTTCAATGGCAAGTAGACTTCGTCCTTTGTGATCAGACCCTGACAGGTAGCCGCTTCAGTCGAAAGCCAAATAGCTCTTTGATAAACCGGCTCTCGAAATGCCGTCGAAACTCGTCGAGTACGTACTTGCAGTATCGACATTCCTAATGTATCGAACGGAACTTCGACGGATCTCTTCCTTGGGCAATTCTGCGTTAGACATCTTGTTTAACCTATGCTTAATTATGATAGCGTTCGCGTTTATCCTAATTAAACCTATATCTAAGAAACCCACCAACAGCCTTCCCCTTTTTAGCCTTATGAATGGTCTGCCTTCATTCATAATAATTTCCTGGATGTTCTAATATCTCGAACAGAGCAACTCCCACCATCCATACAGCGTAAAGAAAGAGATCGTCCGTTGCTTACAACACCGAGCAAAAGTCATAAGTGGCGACCCAGAGACGTTAGATAAAAAATTGGTCAGTATAAGTAGTACCCTACAACGTAACAACCACCCTGGGTACATGGCAGCAGACCCCAAAACCTGGGATAGGCGGGTACAAGAGGAGGAGGACAAAAACACTCAGAAAACAGTCTGCCTGCCTTATGTGAAGGGGTTATCAGAGAAAATACAAAGGATCTGCGGTCCATATAACATTAGGACAACCTTCAAAACTTGACGACACTTCGCAGATATCTCTCCTGAGTAAGAACCCCCATAGAGGAGAACATGACTAAAGACTGTGTGTACGCTATCCCGTGCAGCTGCGGATAGGAATATGAAGGAGAGACAGGCCTCCCCCGCAAGGTAAGGCTTCAAGAACACCAGAAAGCTGTAACACGAGGGGAAGTAGAAAAATCAGGCGTGGCTGACCACATATGGAGAGAGAAGGGAGATCACCGCCCTCTGTGAGATCATGCTGGGATCATAGGCAAGGAACATCATTGCAAAATTCGTAAACTTAAGGAATCAGCACATATGCTAGGCCACAAAAATCCCCTGAGCCGACCAAGCATAGAAATAAATACAATATAGAAACCATTAATAAGGAGTTCCAGAGAAAAGCAATGATAACAACTAAGTTGCAATATGAGCTCTGGTAAAAATGGTTGCTGAAGACATTAGGTTTATAATACCCATGGCACAGTGGATAAAAGCGTTGGTTAGATCCAGTGACAGGACCCAAAGAGTGTGAGTTCAATACCCGGTTAAGGCAGTGGAGAACTTTCAGAGGGAAATTAGCAGGAGATAACTGATAACTGACATCCAGATAACATGGCACGGGGAACTAGAACAGTCTACCCCAGTGAGCGAAATAAAGGGTTCAGTTCGAAATTCCAACCACCCGAAGAAGGTAAACGTAATAAATATGGCGGCAAAGATGAGGACAATAGTCCGAATAATGTAAATAATGTCCACGCCCCTTGTCTATAATGGGGTCCAGGATAGAATCCCAGTCCCCCATTAAGATTAAGCGTGGCGAACCTACCAGGGATGGCCCTAACTGATGGAAAAACATAAACCTTTGGGCGCATAAACTGCAACGATCCGCAACAAACTACTATTCACGGCAATATCGTCCATGATCAACCGCCTTCCTCTCCCCGCATTGACATAGACAAGGTCCATCCTCGGACTCAGGATACGTTTAACCAGCAAGGAAACACCGGTGCCCGTATGTTGAATAGACAACAAAGTAACTAGACAGGACAAGAGCATCGACCTCGCAAAAGAAAGTGTGTTTCTAGTGACATCTGCACCGAAAGGAAAATAAATCAAAAAGCAGGAGAACAGCCTTACTTTGATCCCTCAAGTCCCTCGCATTCATTCTGGCTATCTTGAAAGACACTCTTCAAGTTCAATTACCTGTTCACAGAATGGGCGGAAATCTGAGTGTGGGCAAGGAAACCGAGCGATTGTCCTAGGCTCCCTGTGCTCTTCTTTGACATCATTCGTCCAAATAGGACAATGCCGCCGACATCCGTGGGATAGATTAAGAATCTGGGATTCGCACCTGGGGCATTCGAATTTCAGGGAAGGCGTCTTTTTCTTTGTATAGGTAATTCCATAATCTTAAATATCTCCCCGTATCCCTTATACATGATATCACACATGGTGCCTTAAGGAAATTACGGGGATCCTTCGCCGACATCCCAAGCGGGCCTTTTTCTGAATAGAAAGGTCTCTCTCCAAGTGTTGCCTGTCTATTTGGCAGATTTCCCCCCTCTGTGGAAGTGTCTTTTCTCTTCTTCTCTTTGGACGTGTTGGGAGGGTTGTAAATGGGAGGGAACAATGCGATAGAAGGGGAATGGGGGGCTCTTTGACTTAGTGGGGTATCTTCAAATTTTGGGGGCGAAGCAGGGACAGATTGGGGGCTTGGATTTATCCATATCCTTCTGTACCTTACTTCGTTCAGATCGTTTCTCCTTCTTAGTAATTTTTTCCTCCTTTTCTCCGTTTTCTTCTTCCCTTTTCCTATTCAAAGAGGAGGACCAATGTGGAGGCATTTCTTCCGACTCCATATACGAGTCCGGTCGTTGCTACTTTTGCAGTTGTTTTTGTTGTTGCTGCTGCTCCTGTTGTTGCTGTTGTTGCGGCTGGTTTTTGTTGTCGCTGTTTTTGTGCTTGTTCTTGTTACAGCAGTTCCTGGTGTGGATGCTGCTGTTTTCCTGGCCGCTCCTGGGGTTGTTGTGGGATATCCTGCTGGGGGTGGGATGGGGATGGTGGTGGTGTGCTTGTCGTCTTCCGCCCCTTCCTTGCCACCTCCTTTCTGACGCCGAGGCCGTCGGGACTTGCCAGATCTTCCATCGTTTCTGTTGTTGCTGTTGTTGGCTGAGGTTGTGGCGCCCTGATTTTACTGTGACATGCTGTAGTGTCAGAATGTTGGGGATTTCTGAAAAGTTCTTGGGTGCAATGCCCGCTTTACTTATTATTGCTGAGATTGTCTTGTACTTGTCCGTCTCAGGCAAAAAAAAAAAAAAGAAAGTAAGCAAACTGTCCTTGGTAATATCCATGAGAACTCTATGTACGGTCCCCTTTGTTATATTCAGTTTGGAAACGAAATGTTAGTATATTTCCAGCTAGCTGCCTGGTCTTTTCCTCTGCAAAATGTTTCACATTGCATTCGATCTTCTAGTCAGTATCTTCGGTCCATTTTCCAGGCTTTTTAGTGCCTACTCCATTGTTTTCCTGTTGATTCCAATAGAGTTTTACATCGGTGGTCAGCAGGAAAATCGTTTTCGTATTTTCGTCAAGTGCATCCGGAATAGTGAGAAATTCATTTCCTTTTATATAATCCGCATATTTTACCTGAAGTTCCGCCTAGTAATTAGCATCGTTTTTTGGGTTGTTTTCAGTCCAGGTCATTATTTAGGAGATGCAGTTTGTTCTACATGCACCGGCGGTGTCTCAGGAAATTACGCCATGGTGACGGGGCACCATCACAGCCAAATAATTAAAAAGTTTGCCCGCAAATCACTTAGCACAAGAATTTGATACAAAAAAAGATTAAAACAAAAAATAGGAGGGGAACATGTTCAAAAACCAAAACAAATTCAAGAAAATTAAAGGAAAGTGAAAATAAAAGATTAACTGAAATCAAATAAAAACTAGCTTCAAGCTACACGGGGTTTAGAAAAAAACAATGAAAAGGAAACGAAAATGAAAAAGAAAACTCTAAAAATAAAAAAAAAACAAAAAAAACAAAATGTAAAGCAAATTCAACAAAAAATCAACTTGCAAAAAGAAAACTGTTTGTGAAAAATACGAATCAACTCGTCCAGAAAGAAATTCACAGTAGGACATAGACTGGACAAGGACGAGCAAGGTAACACTCCAAGGAAAGATAACTCACTCAAGAGAAGACGAGTGAAAAGGAAGAAGAGAACAATTAGAGAGGGAGAGAGAGAGAGATATAGAGAGAGAGAGAGAGGGAGAGAGAGAGAGAGAGAGAGAGAGACCAAAAGAAAATAGACTAATGCGAGTGGAAGAATGAGAACAAGAAATTGAAGAGAATAAAAGGAATGAAAAGATATTGATAAGACTGGAAGAATGAAAAGAATAAATTGACTGGATTGAGAAAAGGACGAAAAGAAATTGAAGAGAGAGAAAAAGAGGGAAAACAAGTGTGAAAAAAAGAAACAAAGAGATTGAAGAGGGAAAAAAAGAAGGTATACACGAGTGAAAAGAAAAAAACGAAGAAACTGAAAAGAAAAAAATTGAATGAAAATTAAAATAAGTAGAAGGAAATGAAGAAATGGAAAAGAAAAAAACGAAGGTAAAGATGATCAGAACGGAAGAATGAAAAGAAAAAAAATCGTAGGGGCGAAATAAAGAAGGAAATGAAAATGATAATTGCGCTAGAATGAAAAGAAATTGAGGAGAGAGGGCGAGAGAAAGAAAGTACGAGAAAGAGAGAGAGAGTGAGAGAAAATAAAGGGGAGGAGAGGGGGAGAAAAAGAAAGTACGAGAAAGATAGAGACTGAGAGAGAATAAAGGGGAGGAGAGGGGGAGAAAAAGAAAGTACGAGAAAGACTGAGAGAGAATAAAGGGGAGGAGAGGGCGAGAGAAAGAAAGTACGAGAAAGAGAGAGACTGAGAGAGAATAAAGGGGAGGAGAGGGGGAGAGAAAGAAAGTACGAGAAAGAGAGAGACTGAGAGAGAATAAAGGGGAGGAGAGGGGGAGAAAGAGAAAGTACGAGAAAGAGAGAGACTGAGAGAGAATAAAGGGGAGGAGAGGGGGAACGAAAACAATGGAAAGTGATAAAAGGTAAAGGATGGAAAACAGAAATTGAAGAGATTAAGAATGAAAATAAATTCATAAAAATATTTCTCATGGGGCTCTGTTCGTATTCCTCATCGGTCCTTGTTCTTATTTCTCAGGGGTCCCTGTTACTATTTCCCATGGGTCTCTGTTCGTATATCTAATAGGCCTCTGTTAGTATTTCTCATAAGTCCCTGTTCCTACTTGGCATGGGCCCATATTTCTCATGGTCCCTGTTTGTATTTCTCATGGGTCCCTGTTCGTATTAACTTTAGGTACCTGTTCGTATTTGTCATGGGTCCCTGTTCGTATTCCTATTAGGTTCCTGTTCATATTTTTCATGATTTTCTCTTCATATTTCTCATGGAAGCCTGTTCGTATTTCTCTTAGATCCATGTTCCTATGTCTCATAATTCCCTGTCGTATTTCCCATGGGTCTCTGTTCGTATTTATCATGGGTGTCCGTTCGCATTCCTCATGGGTCTCTATTCGTATTATCATAGGTCTCTGTTCCTATTTCTCATGTGTCCCTCTTAGTATTTCACATGGATCTCTGTTCGTATTTCTCCTGGGTCCCTGTTCGTATATCTCATGGGTCCCTGTTCGTATTACTCATAAGTCCCTGTTCGTACTTCTCATAGGGCCCTTTTCGTATTTCTAGTGCGTCCCTGTTTGTATTTCTCATGGGTCTCTATTCATATACCTCATGGGTCTCTGTTCGTATTTCTCATGAGTCTCTGTTCGTATTTCAGATGGGACTCTGGTCGTAATTCTCATGGGTCTCTGATCGTATTACCCATAGTTCTCTGTTCGCATTTCTCATGGGTCTCTGTTCGTAATTCTCATAGATCCCGGTTCGTTTATCTCACGAGTCCCTGTTCGTATTCCTCTTAGTTCACTGTTCGTACAACTAATGGGTGCCAGTTCGTATTTATCATGGGTCCCTGCTTGTATTTCTCATAAGTCCCTGTTCCTACTTCTCATGGTTCCCTGTTCGTATTCCTCATAGGTCCATGTTCGTATTTCACATGAGTCCCTGTTCGTATTCCCCTTATGACAGTGTTCGTATTTCTCATGGGTCCCGGTTCCTATTTCTCATGGTTCTATGTTCGTATTCCTCATAGGTCCCTGTTCGTATGACTCATTCCCTGTTCGTATTTCTCAGGGGTCTCTGTTCCTACTTCTCATGGGTCTCTGTTCGTATTACACATAGGACCCTGTTCGTATTTCACATGGTTCTCTGTTCGTATTTCCCATGGGTCCCTGTTCGTATTTCTCATGACTCACTGTTCGTCGATCTCTGTTGGTTTTCTTTTCCTCGGACTCTGTTCGTATTTCTCATAAGTCCTGGTTTGTATTCCTCATAGGTCTCTGTTCCTATTTCTCATGTGTCCCTGTTTCTATATCACATGGGTCACTGTTCGTATTTTTCATGATTCTCTGTTCGTATTATACATGGGCCTGGGTTCGTAATTCTCATGGGTCCCTGTTCGCATTTCCCATAGTTCTCAGTTCATTTTTTTCATGGGTCACTGTCCTATTTCTCATGGGTCTCTGGTCGTATGTCTAAAAGGTCCCGGTGCGTATTTCTCATGGGTCCCTGTTTCTAATTCTCCTGGGTTTGTGTTCGTATTTCTCATGGGCCCCTGTTCGTATTGCTCATAGGTCCCTGGTCGTATTTCTCATAAGTCATTGTTCCTACTTCTCATGGGTCTCTGTTCGTATTTCTCACAGGTTCTGTTCCTATTTCTCATAGGTTCCTGTTCGTAATTCTCGTCATATTTTTCATGGGAGCCTCTTCCTACATCTCATGGGTCCCTCATCGTATTACATGTGGGTCTCTGTTCGTATTTCTCCTGGGTCCCTGTTGGTATTTCTCATGAGTCTACGTTCGTATATGTCATGTGTCCCTGTTCGCATTTTTCATAGGACCCCGTTCGTATTCCTCATGGGTCCCTGTTCCTATTTCTCATAGGTTTATGTTCGTATTTGTCATAGCCCCCTGTTCGTATTTCTCATCGATTTCTCCTCGTATTTGTCCTAAGTTCCTCTTCGTATTTCTCATAGGTCTCTGTTCGCATTCCTCATGTTCCTACTTCTCATGGGTCCGTGTTCTTATTTCTCATAGGTTCTCTTCATATATCTCATAGGTTCCTGTTCCCACGTCTCATGTGACCTCTTCGTATTTCTTTTGGGTATCAGTTCGTATATCTCCTGGGTCCCTGTTTGTATTTGTCATGGGTCTCTGTCCGTATTTCTCATGGGTCCTGTTTCTATTTCTTATAGGACCCTGTTCATATTTCTCATAAGACTCTGTTCATATTCCTCATAAGTTCCTATTCGTAATTCTCATGGCTTTCTCTTCATATTTCTCATGGGAGCCTGTTTATATTTCTCATAACTCCCTGTCGTATTTCTCATGGGTCTCTGTTCGTATATCTCATCTGTCGCCATTGGTATTTTCCATAGTTCTCGGTTCGTAATTCTCATTGGTCTCTGCTCCCATTTCTCATAGGTCCCTGCTCGTATTTCTCATGGTCCCTGTTCGTATTTCTCATGGGTCACTGTTCGCATTTCTCATGAGTCTCTGTTCGTATTTCTCATGTGTAGCCGTTCGTATTTCTCATGGGTGTCTGTTCGTATTTCTCATAGTTCTCTCTTCGTATTTCTCATAAATCTCTATCTTATGTCTCACCGGTCCCTGTTCGTATTTTTTATGGGTCCCTGTTCGTATTTCACATATGTCCCTTTTCCTTTTTTCTCATGGTTCCCTGTTCCTACTTCTCATAGGTCCCTCTTCGTATTTCTTATGCGTCTCTATTCGTATTTCCCCTGGATGTCTGTTCGTATTCTTCATAGGTCCCTTTTCGTATTCCCCTTAGGCCCCTGTTCCTATTTCTCCTCCGTCTCTGCTCGTATATCTCATGGTTCTCTGTTCGGATTACTCGTCGGCTTCGTATGTCTCATCGGTCTCTTTTCGTATTTTATATGGGTCTGTATCTTATTCCTACATGGGTCTGTGTTCGTAATCCTCATAGTTCCCTGTTCCTGTTTCTCATATATCTCTGTCGTATTTCTCATGGGTCCTTGTTCGTATTTCTCATGGTTCACTGTTTGTATTTCTTATCGCTCTCTGTTCGTATTTCTCATAGGTCTCTTTTAGTATACCTCATAGTTCCCCGTTTGTATTTCTCATAGGTCTCTGTTCGTATATCTGATATGTCTCTGTCGTATTTCTCATGGGTCTCTGTCGTATTTCTCATCTGACGCTATTCGTATTTCCCATAGTTCTCGGTTCGTAATTCTCATCGGTGTCTGTTCGCATTCCTCATAGGTCCCTGTTCGTATTTCTCAAAGGTCCCTGTTCGTATTCCTCATAGGTCCCTGTTCGTATTTCTCAAAGGTCTCTGTTCGTATTCCTCATAGGTCCCTGTTCGTATTTCTCAAAGGTCCCTGTTCGTATTTCTCAAAGGTCCCTGTTCGTATTCCTCATAGGTCCCTGTTCGTATTTCTCAAAGGTCTCTGTTCTTATTCCTCATAGGTCCCTGTTCGTATTTCTCAAAGGTCTCTGTTCGTATTTCTCTTGGGTCTGTGTTCGTATTACTCATGGGTCCCTGTTCTTATTCCTCTTTGTTCCCTGTTCGTATTTCTCATGGGTCTCTGTTCGTATTTCTCATAGGTGCCGCTTCCTTCTTCTAATGGGTCCCTGTTCGTATTTAATGTGGTTATCTGTCCGTATTTATCATGGGTCTTTGTTCGTATTTCTCAGAGGGTACTGTTCGTATTTCCCATAGTTCTCTGTTCGTAGTTCTCATTGGTCTCTGCTCACATTTCTCATCGGTCCCTGTTCGTATTTCTCATGTGTCCCTGTTTCTATTTCTCTTAGGTCTCTGTATTTCTCAAGGGTCCCTGTTCGTATTCTTCTTAGTTCCCTCTTCGTCTTTCTCATGGGTCTCTGTTCGTATTTCTCATGTGTCCCTCTTCCTATTTCTCTTAAGTCCCTCTTCGTCTTTCTCAAAGGTCTCAGTTCGTATTCCTCATGGGTCCCTGTTCGTGTTTCTCATATGTACCTGTTGATATTCCTCATGTGTCCCTCTTCGTATTTCTCATGAGGCTCTCTTCGTATTTCTCATGGCTCCCTGTTCCTATTTCTCTTAGATCCCTGTTCGTATTTCTCATAATTTCCTGTCGTATCTCACATGGGTCTCTGTTCGTCTTTCTCATGGTTGTCAGTTCGTATTTTTCATAGTTCTCTTTTCGTATGTTTGATTCGGTTTCTCTTCGTATTCCTCATGGGTGCCTGTTCGTATTTCTCATAGGTACCTGTTCGTATGTCTCATAATTCCCATGGCTCTCTGGTCGTATTTCTCTTCGCTCTCTGTTCGTATTTCTGAAAAGTCTCTGTCGTTTTGCTCCTGGGTCCCTGTTCGTATTTCTCATGGGTCTCTGTTCGTATTTTACCATGGGTCTCTGTTTTCGTATTTTTCTTAGGTCCCTGTTCGTATTTTTCATGGGTACCTGTTCGTATTCCTCATAGGTCCATGTTCGTATTTCTCATATGTCCCTGTTCGTATTTCTCTTGGGTCGCTGTTCGTAATTGTCATGCGTCTCTGTTTGTATTTCTCATGTGTACCTTTTTCTTATTTCTCTTAAGTCCCTCTTCGTATGTCTCAAAGGTCCCTGTTCATATTTCTCATGGGTCTGTGTTCGCATTTCTCATAGGTGCCGCTTCCTTCTTCTAATGGGTCCCTGTTCGTATTTAATTTGGTTATCTGTCCGTATTTATCATGGGTCTTTGTTCGTATTTCTCAGAGGGTACTGTTCGTATTTCCCATAGTTCTCTGTTCGTAGTTCTCATTGGTCTCTGCTCACATTTCTCATCGGTCCCTGTTCGTATTTCTCATGTGTCCCTGTTTCTATTTCTCTTGGGTCTCTGTTTGTATTTCTCAAGGGTCTCTGTTTGTATTTCTCATGGGTCACTGTTCGCATTTCTCATGAGTCTCTGTTCGTATTTCTCATGTGTAGCCGTTCGTATTTCTCATGGGTGTCTGTTCGTAT